CTAATTCATAGACACGGCACAAAACTCCACAGTTTTGTTATCAATATTGTTTTCATCTGTTCTCTTTTCTTAGCTTGCGCTGCGCAGGACATTAGTTCTTCCCGGCCGGGTCCTTCTGTCCATGGAGGATGATTTGGCACTCAAAACTGTGAATCTGTGGCGCTCTGTTCCATTGTTCCGGAAGCCCCTAGCTGAAGAGGCCGAGCTGGTTTTGACCCGCAACCTAGCAGTGATTGAAAGCATGGATGTTGATGCAGTTCCATCAACCACCGACGCAACGACGCATATCAATCCTCCAGAGAAAGCCCAGCAAATCGGCTGCGACGCGGGTAGAAAGATCCTGCAAGGTTTCACACAGGGCCTGCAGGGGCCCGGAGGTATGCGAACGGCACTGCTGATCGTGGATTTGAGTACCCACACATGTGATGTGGCCAAAGCTGCGATTTGTGAAGCCTTTGGAGGCCAGCTTTCCATGCCTTTGTTTTACTTGGGTTTCAGCATGGACGATTGCAAGAAAGATTGGAGCCAAGAGTGCCTTGAAGATTTCTTGACATCTGGCTTTTTGAGGGGTGAGTTTCCGTTGCCAAACTCTGCAACATTGCCGCCAGAAAACATCCCGGCAGAGCGCATGGAGGCAGCGCCTCCTCAACCAGCCCTGCTCACACTGACATGGTGCCCGAAAAACAAGTTCGAGGGACTTCCCAGTCTGAAGACGCCAGATGCCTTGCTGAAAAAGTGGCATGATCACCAGCAACATGGCGCAGCTTTCCGTGCATTCTTGGAGAAAAGCAGGGAACTCTTTCCTTTGGATTTGCCCACTGGCAAGCGCGGTGCTGGTGAGACAGAGGACGCACCAAGTTCAAAGAAAGCCCGAGGCCAGGCCAGCTCAGGTTCCAGTGTGGTGCCGCCCGCTGGGCCAGCTCCGGCCTTGAAGGTGTGTTCGGTGGACGAGATGCCCATTCCCATGACATGGGAAGCTGTGTTGCCTGCTCCAAAGCGGAACGCCCCAACCTGCCACGTGGTTATCACGATCGGCTGCCGCATTTTCATGGTAAACCGAAATGAGCAGGAAATTTCGATGGAAGCTGGCACAGTGGTGGCCGGATGGTACAAAGGTAAGTTCTGGCAAAAGAGTTCTTCGCCGCACCAAGAAGCTGGTGAAAAGGACATTTTGTTTTCTTTGGCCTCGGCAGATGACGTGGTAGCCATGAATGGCAAGGCAGTGACTTTGGCGTCTTTGGTGGCTGAGAAACGCAAGACAGTTCCGGATTGCGTGGTTGGGTATCATGCTTTTGTGGACCAGCCTCAAGCCGGGAAGCCAGCGCATTTTATTTTGCAAAGGAAGCATGACATCTACTTTCGTGGTGACGATGTGCCAGTGAAGACAGAAACGGAATCGAAGGATGTGAAAATTCCAATGCACCACCTGGCAGGAGTCATTGAAGGCTCTCGCTGGGAGACGGATTTGACGCACATCGTGTGGGCAACTAAATGGAACCCTGTGGCCCAGAAAGGTTTGCAGCCTCTGCGACCCATGGTCATGACGAAGGCAGCGTTCAAAGTGCCTCCGAAGTCAGCAGTGGAGATTTCCAAGGTCCCTTCGTCTGAGTAGTTGAGCCCAGCCTCGTGGCCCGGTAGCTTTTGACTTTTCCTCACATTTTGGGCAGGTAACCCAGTAAAATTTATGGACCAAGACTTGTACTGAAGTAGAGAACGACGAGGTTTAAAACTCAGCGGACTTAGCGTTTCCTCAGTCAGTGTGCTCTGCTACCACAGCTCTGCTACCAGCATAAATCCTGCAAAAGTGAGGATGCGCACCAAGCTAGGTTGAACCACGCCAGCTTTGGAACGCCTTAACTGGCTTTGCACCATCACGCCGGTTGGCATGGAGTGTCATTCCAGCATGCGCCTGCGACGCACCAGTTGCTAGCTGTGGAAAAGAGTTTCTGTTTTGGTGCGAGCATGTGTAGTGTACGACGGCCCGGTGGGGCCGGCTTGAGCCAGATATTGTTTTATCGATCTATAAATTGTTGAAATATGTTCATCTATGTTTATATATGTTTGTAATTTGTTTGTTCTCTCTATCGTATTGGTTTGAGGTGAACTCTAAAGTGTGGTTTGATTGTACTTCTGTTGCTGTATGTTTCTTCAAGAATATTGCCGTGCAAAGAGGCACATGGAGGTCTAGATAGAGTTTTGGAATTATGTGTGTATGCTTTTGAATATTTAAAACATATATATATATACATATGTGTATATATATATATTCAACAATAACAAAAACAAGAATAAATAAATAAGTATATATATATATTTATTTGTATATTTTAATGGTCTAAAGTAAATAAGTCTGGACAAAAGCCAGCCAAAGGCGCTGGCTGAAGTTGCTTTTGCGAACGAAGTGAGACGGGGGATGAGGGGGCAGTGGACCACTAGGTACCAAAGGCGCTGGCTGAAGTTGCTTTTGCGAACGAAGTGAGACGGGGGATGAGGGGGCAGTGGACCACTAGGTACCCTTTTCCTCGAAATACCTTTGAGAACGCGTGAGAAAGGTGGGAAATCGAGGAAAGGGCAACCAAACCAATCATACGCAATAACCTTCCGCCCCCAAAGGATCGACTCAACCGAGATCCATTTTAGCAATGAGTACTCCATTCAATTACGAAGGCCCACCACTTCCCGGTTTCCTACCACACCCTGGCTTCCCGGCAACGTGACATGATGAAACTCTGAATATAATTGTTTGGGCCCACCATGCAAGACATGTAGACATTGAATGGAACGCTTGCGCAAATATGGCCGAATAAAGGTGCTGAATACGAGCACATTTGGTCGTTTACTATTCAGTATTTCTTTGAAATTGTAATATTTTCCTTAGGTTATTTTTCATAGCAGTCTTTGCTGCGGCAGGAAAGCAGTCCAGCATACATCGTCGTAATTTTTGCAATGTTATGGGTGTAGCAACAGCTGGCGCGTGGCCGAGCTGTGCCAGCGTTACGGCCTCCAGCTGGGCTTTGCCGAGCTGGTAAACCGTAGTGCGCACATGCCAAGCTCGTAGACAAGTCTGTAAGGGAGCCTCTGGCTGGTGGGCTGCCAAGCCAGCAAGCTCTTCTTATTTTTGTTTGGTTTTCTTCACTTTGGTTTTTTTGGTTTGGTACATCTCAGCCAGGAAATTCCTCAGGGGCTTGCTTTTCTTCAAAAATTCACTGGCTTGAGTAGCGGTGAAAGCCCCATAGCCAGCGAATGTTTGCTTGTCATTGATGCGAGCATAAAACATGCATATGGCATCCGGCAACCCTGTGGCTTTCAAAGTATTAACCATGGTTTGCCTCCCGGAATGTGATCGTATGGGGCGATCAGTTGGGTGTTCAAAGCTTTTACGCAATCGCGCAATAGCCTTGCACACCGTGTCTTTGTTTTTGCCTTCAGTACAGCAGTCCCAACGGTCAGCCGGGAATAGCAATCCTTCTTTAGGCCAGGTCCATGTGTCGATCCAGGTGACTTTTCCACGGGATCCGTTTTCTTCCGTCCGTTTTCTCTTCACGCCTTTCTTCTTGAAATTTTGGAGCAGTGCTTTGACTTCAGGTAACATAGGTTTCCGAACCGCATCTTGGCGTTTCATCGGGGCAATGTACACGGTGCCAGCCCTAAAGGAAAAGTCTTCGGCTGTCAAGCGCAAACACTCGGTAATGCGCAGGCAAAGAAGATGGGACATGACCAGCGCCATGTACAACCATGCTCTTCCATGCGCCAGTACATGCTTCAACCACAAAACCCAAAGTTGGCCTGGCAGGGTAGCTGCCTTGCCTAACTTCTGAGTTTTCTTCTTCTTGGGTTTCGGGCCCCTTTTCATGGGATGTTTCTTTCCACCACCAGATCTCATTGGAACGGCGCTTCAAGCAAATTGCTGGAGCCAAAGCAGCTGCCAAAACACGACTTCGTGTCAACGAACTAATTTCGGGAAATTCAGTGGCAAAAACCATCAGAAACAGCGGATTTTTCCAGGTAGTCCGCCTTCCCCCGGTTTAGGCGGACTCCCCCCCTGTAAATCAAAAACAAGCATGATGGTATTGAAGTCACTAGTATCATCAACCATGATAAACCATTGACACATACGTTATCCACCACCACACAGAGAAACATCATCGAGTAGTACCCAAGCAAGGTCCATGGGGTGAAAGGGAAATGTCTATATGATGTGGCTGTGAACACTGAAGTCAGTGCATTTGGGAGAACATGACAGCGCAAGACTCTGGCCTCACCACAAGGCAGTATAAGGTGGTTGTGAACATTGGGGCATCATATCAGCATGACAGCACAAGACTCTGGTCTCCAAGCAATCAGCAACATCCCCCCAAAAAGGACCTATTGTCCAGAAAAAAAGGTTCAAGTCACCAGATTCGAGCTTAGCACGGGAGGGTGTGGGATGGCTGCTTCGCGTCGTTGGGCTTGTTGCTACTTTTGGGCTATCCCTACTGTGGGCTTTCAAGAGCAACCTCATGTTCATGTGGTTCAAGTAAGCCAAAGCAGAGCCTTCCTTGTCTTTGTACTTCAGATCTGAGGGGTATATGTGCATTAATTTCCACTCATTTTGGAAATTGCACCCGGCTACAACGCAGAGATGCAAGCCAGATCACAACAACAAGCCGATGAAGTCGGTGTAGTTGGTGTACCTGGTACTCCCCCAGAGAAGCGTTTGCCATCGTTTGCCAAACAATTTATATAAACTATATAGTGTCATTTTCTTCCTACGTTGAATGGTCGCCGTTGATATTTTCCTCAACCAGGACTTCAAGTTGATTTAACCTTGCCACCAGAAGCCCGCAAAGCATCAAAGTTTTTCTCTTGCCCCTCTCGACCCCCCCGGAATCGCTCCTTCCGAAGGGTCGCAACCGCAGAAAAATAGCTGCGGGTCCGCCGCCCGCGCTCGTGGTTTAGTTCCGTTCGCTTGGTCGTCCACGTCGTTTGCCTGGTCGCGCTTGCGTCGTTCGCTCGGCCAGGCTTCCTGTCGCCCTCCAGCGAGATCAAGTTCACCGACGTGCCCAATGGCCTGGCGGCGGCGACCAAGGTGCCGGCGGTCGGATGGTTCCAGCCACCTGGTAAGCAAGACGACCGCTTTGGGGTCGGTGGGTGGGAAGCGGAGTTGGGCTGTTGGGCGGTTGGATGTTGGGGAAACGGCTTGGTTCACGCATGTACCTGGGTTTGCCACGGTCACAAGGGAAATGTCAAAATAGCAAACAACAACGGAGGGAGCAAGACTAATCGATTGTCACTGGCATGTTTGAGCCCTTTCCAGGCCTAGGAATTGCATTTGTTTTCAACAAGGTTCCCTTTGAAGGAGGTTGTATCTGAATGATACGCTTTCAAGTTCTACGGTGGATGGAAGACATGCTTTCATTCTTTCACTGAACTAGTGAGGGACTTGTCATCTCAGAGGTTATTCACTGGTTTTTGCTCCTCCAACAGTACCAACGATCATGGGTTTGAGAGGCTTGCCACTGTGCTCTGAGCTATCACCCTTCAAAGAAAACTAAGTCGTAACTATGTTGGAGCGTGCTGATGGGCGGTGGTCTTTCCAAAAAACCCTTTTGGATCCGAGCCCAGTCGCCAAGTCCTCGAAATTGGCGTTGCAAGGTACACAATCTTCTGCGGCATTTGCGATCTCTGGCTCATGCACCAGGCAGATCCCGAACTGGGGAATTGAACACCAGGTTCTTGTTCTGCACGGAGCTGCGAACAAGGCAATCATAAAAAGTCCTTTTGAGTATAGGAGATGACTGGAGATGTGTCTTTCAGTGCATTTCCATCAGCGAAAGGAGTACAGTACTTCTTGTTTAAAAGGAGCATATGCAGTTCTCTGCAGCCAGACATTTTCCTTATGAAGGAGCTGGTGACTGTAGCATATCGACACGTAGCATACCCAGTGACCGCCTCGCTGAGCACTTGACACGTGACCGCATCGGACACGAAGTGAAGGGGCATCGTCTGATTCTCGGTGCATCGGGGAAACCTCCAGTCATACAATGAGAGATCCGGTCGCGGTATGTCGAGGAGTTGGTCATACAAAACTTACAAAACATTACTCAATGGGGTAAAGGACTAGGTTTTAGGTCTGGTCTTTGGGCTGGTTTTTGCGACGAAAAGACGTTCACTTTCCTGAGGTGCCGACCAACCCACCAGGAAAGCTCGCCACCCGTCTTTTCGGTGAGGGTGCCACCAATTATGAGCAACTTGGAGAGATCTCCTTAGATTGCTTTTGTGAGTTCTCCACACAAAGGATTTACTTAAGATTTCTTCTTCCCCAATAACAAGCTAGCAGATCTTCTATAGCAAAAGATACCTTCGAATCAAATTCTGGAACAGGTCCCAGAAGAGGTTCCAAAGCCGTAGGTTCTGCGGGTGGTTCCAGAGCCTGCTCTTGAGGAGGCTCGAAAAAAGTTGGAAACCATGCTAGTACCATCTTCGGACTGTCCGCAAAAGACAAAACAATCCTTTTTATTCTTTCATTCTAGTTTTACATGCTACTGCTACTTTTTAAAATGCACTGTGTGGAAAACATATCCTCTACCGTGTAGAGTGTAGATATCCTTTTGTGATCTTTTGTGAATTCAACACAACTTTCTTTTCACCGGACCATGTATACTTTCTACCGTGCAGAAGGATTTGTTGTGAAGCGGCACACCAAAATAGTCGAACACTATCAACCTGTCAACTCTCTACACTTTCCTGTGCTGCATACCCGCATATATTACCCAGCACAACGTTTTTGATACCAAGCCAAACATCCTCTCTTCGGTGCGGAAGACATGTCATGCAGTTCGGTACTACATGTTCATGGGAATATGAAGGAACCATCTTCCGCAGTCGGAGTTGTGCTGAACACATCTGCAGACGGGGAAACTCTTTGTGCTTGTGTTGTTTCCCTCCTGTGCGTCCAGGTTTAACCCGTTATATATACTGTATAAAAGTTTTAAGTATCAACCTTCTTTCTACTCAACTTGAAAGGCTTCAAATTCATTTGAAGTACACATCATTTTGCCCAGAGTACACCGCACTTTGCTGCCCTCCATTCCATCTGTTGAGGTATGGCTTCTTGGGGCTTCCAGGATATTTGGGCGGCAAAGCCATCGAGGACCCCGAGATCAAGAAGAAGAAGCTGCCTCTCGGCCGCCACATGGGCGTCCCAAGTATGATTTCTTGGGCCACGAAAGAGACAAGTGGGGCACAGAAGTGGAAGAGATGGCAAAAGGTGCGGTGAAGTGGATGTTCACCTTTTTTGTGGGGCTTGGACTCATAGCCATTTCTACAGCTCTTTGGAAAAGCAGTTACATCAGTGACATCTCTGTTTTATCTGGGAGCTTTTGGAGTATGTTTAGCAGAGGTAGAGCTGATGGTCCGGTTACTGAAAAGGACATTTTTATGTTCAGAGTGGGGTGGTAGAGTTCAGGAGACAGGCCGCCACCACTGGTGCGCCAGCGAATCAGGGTCTATGTTTCTCTTGCGCCCACCGCCATCACCAAACTTGACTATTTCAATTCAGGGGGTTACACTCCCGAAAACTAACATGGACCCTGAGAATGGCACCCTGAAAGACTGTTTTCCTCTACAAACCAGTGATTTTCATGGTCCATGTCAGTTTTCAGCGGGGTATTTTCAGACTGATTGGATCAGAGTCCAGTTCAGCGCCGCCAGGAATGCAGAGATTGCAAACGGACGACTGGCCATGATGGCGATCATCGGCGGCTCGGTTGCAGGGGAGTCATCCACGTAGCACCTTGCAAGATAGGTGGTCTTCCGTTCGTCAAGGAAGTACACTAATACACCATGCAAATGCTTGGTGTCTTCGAAGATGCCGCGGAATCTGGTGCATCTAAAGGAATTTGGGGTTGTTGGCAGGTCTGAAGCAGCATGTTGAATTGAATTGCCCATTCAATCAAATTGAAATACCCAGTTTGTCGAACTGTTTTGGTCATGCTGAACCGCTTCCAACTCACTCCTTTCAAGGAACTTGTCCCCCCGATCCGGGATAAAAAATCTGGCGCGAGCCCGACTCGCGCCGGCCTGCTCCCCCACTCTGCACATGCCAAGGCATGTTCTTCCAGGATGGCTTGACAGGCTCTGCCTGGGGTGACTGGGCCAACTACACTGAGTCCCCTCTGAGGGCCTTTGTGGCTCGTCCTCCAGAGTCCGGAGTCCACACTGAGCGAATTGAGGTGGACTTGCCTGGGGACTAGGTTGGTGGTGAACCTATGAATAAATGTCCGATCAGCGACTGAGGGTCCGGATCAGCGACCAGGATCAGCGACTGCTGGATCAGCGACCACTTTTCCCGGATCAGCGACCAATTTTCTCGGATCAGCGACCAATTTTCCCGGATCAGCGAGCAAGAACTATAGGATCAGCGACTGTCGGAGCGAGATCAGCGACTGTCGGAGTGAGATCAGCGACCGTGGAATAGCGATCATGTTTTCCGGATCAGCGAGATCAGCGACTCAGGGATTGTGACGTTGTATGATCCGAATGGTTGCTTTGTTCTTTTACTTTCCTTATAGCTAGACCTCTCTGGTGACCGATCCTGGCGACCGATCCGGTATGGTTGGTTTGGCTTGTTTGTTTTCTCTGGTTACCGATCCTGGCAACTGATCCGGTATAGTTGGTTTGGTTTGTTTTCC